AGTGTTAGAAAAAAACAATACAAAAGTGGCTTTAGTACAACTAGATAAATAAAAATCAATTCACCTTTGACACAGACCGTATTATTGCTAGTCAGTTCAACACATTTTTCTAACGACAAACAGGAGTGGCATCTAACATTATCAACCATCATCTGCAACGTTAAGACGCATAGCAACAATCAAAGATTAAACGAAGATGTAATCCATTAATTGCATGCACATATCTTTATACTAATAAATTTATATTATACTAATCCTTTGTCACTGTCTACATGCTTTTGGCATACTTATTGCCAATTACCCCCAAGCTTGATTAAGAATATTCACAGAAACGTTATCATTGCTAATTAAATTAATCTTAATTATCATTTTATGGTAAATATGATTTTCTTTACATAATATACTCTCCAACTGTACAAAGCATTAGGCAATATTTTTATATCATCATACTGTCATACAAAACATCAATTATTTTGTTTAAAAATTATTCCCTATTTATGTGAAATTGCAGGGGAAAACCAGAACAAAAAAAAGGAAGTGAGGGATAAGAACTGACCTGGTGTCGTCCAATTCTAAAGAAATCCGTTGCTAATTCTGTCTCATTTACGTCTGACACTATCTCACAAGTGAAGCCATTTAGATTGTAATTGACTCCGTAACACCAAGCACGTCTCGTCAAACACTCTTGGACACATTGCTGTGGTCCTATAGCACTGACCACGGCTACAACTGGACCGACGTATCTCTCTCCAGGTATCGAATTGAAATCACAACTTTCACAATATACTAAAGCAGCGGATAATATGGTTATACACATAATCGCCATTTTTTTGGGCTCAGACGGGCGATTTCTTTTAGGAAAAAAACCCACCCGTTTCTTTGTAACAGACTTTAATCTTATATCTCCATGTGAAATGTGGTTTTACTCTTGAATTATCTTTCTGGATTTTCAGTCAAGTTTCTGTCCTATAAAGATTTGTATTCTACTCAAAAAAGCATTATTCCAAGGTTCCATTAAGGTTACGAACAGTGTAGATAGACAAAACATTTTTCAAAGACTTCTTCCTGACAAATATTATCATACATATCCGTAAATCAATGGAAACATTTATTTTGATTTTCATTAAAAGCATTCAGTTAAATTTACAATAGAGATTTTTTTAAATAAACAGGATTGAAGCCCTGTTGTACTGATCGTTAAATCTTCAAGGTAATGTTTAAGGTTATACTGTAAAACATTTTTTATTCGCGTGCGAGAAATATTCGCAATTTTCGCGACCTACTTTAACTCGCGAATATTAATGGCCGCGAATCAATAAGTTCGCTTTGTATTTGTAGAGAATCAATCAATAAGTTCGCTTTGTATTTGTATAGAATGTTTCCTCAATCGGGAAAATTAATTGTCGCGGATTGATTCCAAATTGATGATTCACGAATAAAAGATGACGCGAATAAGAGTTGGTTTACGGTATGTACCATACCTTCACATTCAAGTTATTTAATGGAATTCGTAAAGATATTATTATTCAAAATCATAGTACTACCAGATGTACTTAGACAAAAAAATCAATGTTTCCAGTGGTTTTAAAAAGATATATTTGTCAGATGAGGAATGCTCTGGTGTTAACAATGAAAAATATACAAAAATGACCAAAAATTAAGTTTTAGCTGATCTCTCCTTTAAGAATTATTAAGGATTACACAGCATTAAGGTATGGGAGTATGGGATGAAGAATTGAGCATTCGTGCTCGGTATTTTCCGCTTGAGAGAAATGTATTGAATCTTTAATGCCGATATATTTTTCATTCAACTGGATTAATACTCATATATAACAATTTAATGTAAATGGTGCTGTATGAAAAGAAATTTTAAGTTTAAAAAACCAAAATATCTAAAGATCTCGTGAGATCGTTAAAAACAATTTTCAATATGGCAACGTCCATGTTGAAAAGAATTAAAGAAGATTGCCAAATCATCAAAACGTATTGTTTAGTGTATTATGTATTATGTATTATGTATTTGGACATTAATGTGAAGGAGAAACCTGTTTTCCTGGCATGAAAATCTTGAGTAGTGGCAAAATTTTAGTACCAACGAGTGGCGATGTGGCAGAGGAGTGATAGAGCGGGTGTCAGTTTTAAATGCCCCTTGAAATTAAAACGGGTCTTTCTACCTCAGTAAAAAAAACTATTTAGGGTGAAATGACTGGGAGTGGGCGGATGCTTTCAAACTATTTTTAAATCTGAGTTGTCTAAAGCTGCATATGATGCAGAAACACATTTCCTTCAAGATAATTTATTTCCTCAAAAAACATTGTATCTACCATCTTTGGGTTTTTACCAATATTTTGGTAATGGTGTTCTAAATATGAACATGGCAGAATGTTGCAAGCTCTGGACTTGGCTTGCATCATCTGAAAACCAGTTATAGACGTATAAAACTTTGACCAGATCAATTGAGAGCTAGTTTATACCTTTTAATACTAGTTGATATATTTATCCGTTTGTCACTAGATGTTTATTTATGTATTTCTAAGTAAAATTGTCATTTCAGGGAGTTGTATTTATATTTTATAGGAAACCTCCCCTAAAAATTGTCTGTTTTCCATCAAAAATATTGAAATAAAAAATGTTGCGTAACTGATTTGAATTCCTCCACAGAGAAAGCAAAATAATAGCTCTCTTTGTACCAGTTATCCTTATGAATTATTATAAACAAATAAATATATCGAAAAGCTAAGAAATCTTTTATCGTCAGTTTTTTAGGAAGGGGGGGGGGTCGTATTTACAGTGAAACCCAAAAGGGTCTGCGCAGAAAAAAAAATGATATTCATAACACCATGTTCACTGGGGAAAAATACAATGAAACAAACGAACAAACAAATAAAAAAAACTTGTTTGTTTATTGAATATATACTGTTCAAGTTCACTCTGTATATAGCATGTAAAAGGTATACACTCTGAGAAGGTCTTTATAAAAAATCACACTTTTCATGTCAACTGTGCCAAGCTCAAGTGAGCTTTCTGATCAAGTTTCTTCGTAGTCTATCTATAGGTAAAGCTGTCTGTGGCATTGTTCCACTTCTTCTCCAGAATCACTGGATTAATTCTAACAAAACTTTGCACAAGAGATGTTCTTGGTTAAAGGGGATTTAAGTTTTGTTCAAGTAAATAGCAAAGTAAAAAGTAAACCGCCTTCATCAAAGAGGAGATAAGGGAGAAAAGGCAAAAATATATATATTTTTTTACATATAAAAACTTCATCTTAAGAAGCACTGGGACAGAAAAAAAATCAAAGTAATGTGAAATTGAAACAGATTTTATGGCAAAGAATCAGTTTTTATGTTTGAGATATAGTTCTTTAAACCAGATAAAAGGATAGATAAGCTTATATTTATATGTATGGTAAACAGCACAACAAACCCTATCATTCAGTTGTAGAACCGTTTATTCAAACTTCGATTAAAAATGACAGAATCTCAGTTGGATAACAAAACGAAAATCTGTATATATTTTACAGAAGAAGTTTCCCTCAAAATTGGTGATGTTTGAAATTTTTTCCCCATATTGTAGTAAAATACTTTTTAGAAACTCGTGTTTATTAAGTGTTTTAAATTCTGTATGCACCAATGAAGTCTAATATAAATTTTGATTCTTGCGTGAGGTGTTTGTGTGGGACAGGGAGTTGCAGGAGACCTGCCCCTCTCCCCACCTTTTGAGAAAGTCAAGTTTTAATTTAAATTTTAAGGGAAAAATTTTCAATGAAAGCCCCTCTCCCTTCTTCATGGACCTTAACATTCCACCATATAATATTTTGAGTTAGGAGAATTTTTTTTTTTTTTTTTGGGGGGGGGGTAGTCAAAGATTTGTATTCAGGTAAGTTGTAATTGTTTTTCCTTATAATGCCCTTTTCCAAAGTCAATCCTATATATGTGCCTGATATTTATTATTTCTACATTGCACCTAAAGTAGAATGATAAATTTCAAAATTTCGTAATAATACAACTGGTTATATTTTTTTAACCCCATTTCTCTCATTATGTTTGGCGAGTACTTAAGTAAATGTAAACTAGTAAGATGGCATGGATTTCGTAATTAGTGTGTATCATTTAATCATTGAATCATATAATAAAACAATCATTGCTGTTCTTTCGGTCAAAACGATGATTTAGCCACCTTCGAAGTACAATATTCAACTCGCTCTTCGGGCTCAGTGAATATTGTACTCCTCAGGTGTCTAAATCGTCGTATTGACCTCAAAAACTAGCAACATTTGTATAATATTTTCCACGTTTTCATGGTACAGGTACATATATTACCAAAAAGTGCAACGCCTTTGTATTCCCCTAGTGCTTGTCTTAATACATTGTACATACATAAATGCAAAATTAGAAGACAAATACAGAATTTCATTACCTTAGTTAAGTAGGTAAGTTATAAATCAATGTTTGGTTTATATTATGTTATTACACTCTTCATTATTCATTCCTGACAGAATTGAAGAATCCAATGTGAAAAGGCAAACAGCAAGCTTAAGACTCAAAGACTTTATTATGCCACATACTGTATTTCGATTCTCAACAATGGAAATTCGAATAGGAAATAAAAGGAGGTTTTCGCTCGAAAATTTAACAAGAGCATACTCATAAATCAGACACATGTCAGTATAAAAACATCCAAAAAGAGGTATTTTCAAAGCAAAGACATATGAGTTTAAAACTTTTAAGTACCTTTAAATTATAACATGTGATTAATACATATATACATGTATTAAAAAAGAAATGACATGACTCCCTAGGAACATTAATATTTAAATTATATTATTATAATTAGAAAGGACGAGTTCCGTGGCCTACAATAATATATGAAATAAAATAGAGAAAAGGGAAAAAGTTAAATACATCAATACATGTAATAGATAATCATGATACTTTCATAAATCTCCAAAATAATGAATGCAAACAGCAAAAACAAATTAAAGTATTTCTATACCCTTCACAAGTAAACTAAATATTTAGATATGTTTCTTTTTTTGCAATTCCTCTTTTTTTATTGATTCAAACAGTAAACAAATGAATCAACCATTTACTTTAAGGCATTTTTTTTTCATTTGATAAAATTGGCCATTCTTTGGCTTCGTATAAACGGACGTCTTTCAGTCGACTCTTCTCACCATAAATTGAATATGTTTCAGCGAGTAAGACTGCCCTAGCCATTGGCTGTAGGTAATGCCCTGGGCGTTGATGGATGTGACGCCCCCAAGGTACAGTCCATTAGGATTAGTAAAATGACAATTTCCATACCACCACCCCCCTTTGTACCCCACTGAACAGCTACCCTCACTCATATCATTATCCTGATCCTTTGTTGAAAATTTCCTGTTGTTTATATAAGTGAGGGAATCACCTTTAAAGGAGATTTAAAAAATAGATGGTGGTTTGATAAAAGAAGAAGGTACGGTTTCAATATGAATCTGGCCCTGTTTTATTTTTTTTATGACATTGGTTTGAGAAATTAAAATTCATTTTTTCTGAATTTTTCAAACTTCCAGGATTAAGATCATACAAATTGTTTATTATTTTTTACATGACCTTCTAAATCCAGTTTTGACGTCATAAACTTTTGCAATTTCCCGTATATTCTTTAAAAATTGCATAATACATCAATTTTTATTGGAACTTTCTTTCAGACAATATTGACCATATGCAAAGCCACAAAGATTTCAAGATATGAGATTTTCCAAAGATTTTCAACATAACCGAAAATATTAATCAGTGGCTGCGGCTGTGGACGCTTTTTTCCCCAGGAAAATAACCCCTTGAATAAATCATTATGAGGCTTTTTTTGTTAAAAACTTGGAAATGTAATAAAGTAATGACGTCATATTTTCAGAACTCTAAAATTATCAACTTTTAGGGCAAAATTAAGCCAACACCGAACCTTCTTCTTTTCAGTAAAAAAATCATTAAAAGGTGTTATTACTCCGCTGATTTAGATTTCTAATATAATGCCACTATAGAATACGTAAATATAACTTAAATATGATAGAAATAAGCTACGCAAATACTACCGTAACGATGTATATGAGATAAATCAATGTAATAATAAGTTGTCAATAAACAAGATTTTAGCTATACTTAATTTTAAATAAGTAGATGCAGCTTATACTAAGTCATTATTAGGCTAGGTTTATTATATACTTAATAATACATGTACATACAATGTACATGTAAGCTAGGTTTAGTTTAAACTAAGTTTAAATGATCTCAGTTTAGCTATGCTTGATTTTAAATAAAGTTGATGTAGCTTAAACTAAGTTGAACCTTAGATTGTGTTTATACTTTATCTAGATAAGCAAGGTTCAACAGTGTTGGCATAAAAGTAGTTGTAACAAATCTGAATGTAGCTTATACTTGTACGTAGTGTAAATAAGGTAAATATAGCTTAAACTATGTCGTAAATAAGCTTGTGGAGAAATATGTACATCATAAAAATAGTGGAATCAGAAATCTTACCGACGTTCCCGGAGAAACCAGATAAAGTGATGGTATACTTTGATTCTTCGTTTCCAAGAGATATACTGCTGAATTTAACATAACGTGTCTGATTGTCGAAATCACTCATATCCACCCTCAACTCGTATAATCCTTGACTTAGTAGATGGTACAGTTTGTCATTACCTTTTTAAAGAATTTTAATAGAAATTATTTAATAAAGCAAGATAAAAATCATGAATTCTTGATATTTACCAATCAAAGCATATCAATTAAAAACACCGACTTCTGAAAGCGGCAATACTTCTTTATTGTTTCTATCAGTTAGGAATTTTCATGATTATTTAAAAGAAATAAGATAACAGGTGTTGATTGTAATGTGCTTCTATGCTTATTTAGTTAAAACTTTCTTGACTATACACTCCTCGTATATTTTATATACGTACCAAGTTTCAATACATTTTCAGTAAAAATAAAATGCAAACTACTGGAATAAAAACATAAATTTTATTCCGTACAGCATAACTGTGACATCAATTGGTTTTTCTTAATCACAGCAAGTTATTTGAAAGGAATTTAGGTTCAGGCACTTGTATTTACCAACACATATTTTTTAGGAAGATAAATATTGAATAACCTGTAAGTTTTGTCCTTGAAAAGAGGGCATTAACAACATCCTTTTAAATATCTATCTAGAATATTGGCAGTATGTATCTATATAAATACAGTTAATTGGTCCGTCAACTTAATGACATCATTCATTTAAAAAGCAAACCATATTTATTTGTCAATAATTTGGTACATTTTTGCCTTGAATAAAGGTCACTGATTTGCTTCATTTGAATCTGCAAGAGTACAGAGCTTGAAGCTTTTATTTTATTAGAGTACCGTATGAGCAGAATTTTAGCGAAGATTCAATTTTGGCTTTATTAGCGAGGGTTCTGAGATCAGTAAAATTGAATATTTCTAACAATTTATTCCGTATCGGTTGTTATAGCTATCTTTCTGGACATAATAAAAATCGCTTATTTTACTTCTCTCTAAAATTATATATCAATTTTTTTTTAAATAAATCGCTTAAATTGCACTCGCAACAAATTCTACATATACGATATTACTCCTGGTTTATATAAATACAAAGCTTGTTGATCTAAATACTTACCAATTGTGTTAGATAAGTCGACCATATGCTGATTAATAACGGCAATTCTACCGAAAGTAGAATTAATGCTAGTTTGCTACAGGAATTAGTTACTTTCGTTATAGCACAATGAATATTAATATTTAATTTTAGAATTTGAATTCTAAATATTTTCGATTAGTTTTGCTGTGATATGTTTATATTGATTATCACAGAAAATAGTATATACAAAATAGCCCATATTTATAGCAAAAGAAATCTATAAAGAACATTAGTTGAGTGAATTTATGATATGGTGATTTGAAGACTAGGAATGCTGATTACCATATGTGATGCTCGGTGTTAATTGTTGGAATTTATGGCGCCATTGAAATAATCATATTTGTTATTAATTTTTTGGGGAGTTAAATTTTGGTCCAAAACTCGATACCCGCCTAACAGCCGAGTCATAAAAAGATTGGTATTTTTCAGAAATGCAAAATGTAGTACTTTTTTTTTAATCACTTCCAATTATCGTTGTCAAAAGTCTGAACACATCATTTATGCATTCTAAGATTAAGCATAAAGTACAAATTATTATCAAGTTTCTCATAAATATCATCAGAATGTTGGTGGATTTTATTTAATCAAAGGTAATACATTAGAGAATTGATATAGAATGTATTTGTTGAAAAAAAAGAATATCGGTGTCATTTTTGAAATATTATTTAAAACACGGGTAAAAACATAAAAGCATTGATTTGAAATTGTCAAACCATTCTGGCAAAAAGTTGTACCGACTTATAAGCGGGTCAATGGCAAATCCCTCCAAAATAATCTTCAAAATACAACCGACTTATAGGCGACCGACTAATAAGCGAGTATATACGGTAATTCGTTATAATTACCTAACCAAAATTCAGCTGTCAAGTTTCCAAATCCGCTCCTATATTCCGCCCAGGTTCTGTAGAAATCTTCAGATCCGTCCATTCGACGTTGGAAGACCTTAGAAAACAAACAGTAAACAGAAATTAAGAAAAGAGCGAGGTCAATAACACGTTTTACATGTATATTTTCTTGACGTTCACAAGAATCACGTTTGAAAATCGAAACTGGTATACTTAGGCAGGCTAACTACATATAAGTTGATGCTACATGGATTTCTACAGCTCGTTTAAAATCAGAAATTTGTAAATCTAATGGTCGTTATAATGACAATTGTTAGCAAATATAACCTATCATTATATCGTATTTTGGCAGACTTCTTTCATACTTATTGTAAGGCTTTTGATTTTATGCTTAATTTGACTACAGCATATCCCGTCTACATGATCAATACGTAGGGCTCACGGCAGGTGTGACCAGTCAACAGGGGCTGCTTACTCCTCCTAGGCATTTGATATCACCTATTGAATTTCCTGGGGTCCGTGTTTTATGCCCTCTTCACAGAATTGTAATGTGTATTTATAGATTGCTGTTTGTTAACTTCACATTTTTTTCATTTAAAAGTAGCCAAGGAGAAAACGAACAACGATATGTAAATTGTGCAAAATGTACCAATAATCATGTTAGCAGAGATTTGCTAAACCATCTTCCCTTTAAAATAATATTGAACCTTGATTCATGAACAAGATTTTGAATGATTAAATTTAACAAAATTAGTTCAAAATACTATCGAATAAGCGTGAAATACTAAATATTTTTATACACAATAAACTATTCTTTACTTGTTCAGAAATCTTGGAATAACAAAATATCGTAAAACTTATGTCTCTACATTGTTTTACATGCACAAAAGAGAAAGATTATTCGTTTAAAAAAAAACAAAATACCCCCAACCCCCCACCCCCATGTACTCTCATTAAAAGAAAGTTAAACTTCACATTTTATTCATTATATCGTTTAGAGAACCATCGAATGATATTCTGCCGGAAAATGGCCGCGATACTGCCAACTGGGCGAAGATCCATAATCAATCATTCAATCAAACGATCGATCGATCGATCAACAATCAATATGGATAACAAAGCACAACATTTATTAACTGTTATCAATCCTCATACTCCCTTTTACAAGGTACCGGGGATGATACTGTCGTTTTCAAGAACAGTGACTATGTCTGAGCCAAGAAAAAAAACCTTTCACTGAAAAATGACTTTTCAAACAGAAGATGAAACAAAATTACATTCAAACGCTTTGTTGTCTACGCGTGAAAAAATCACTGTGATCTTCCTTAGCAAAAAAATAATTCCTCTTTAAGAAGAACTGATTACTTGTGAGTAAATAGTATCAATTATAAGTATCAAATAAGATAATTACCGTCCATCCTCCTCCATCAGCCTCCATTTCACAAAATACAATCACGTGACCTAGGGCTGGGATTTTAATTCTGTATAATCCACTCGGTTCATGTGATAATACTTCATGTATTGTCGTGCAGTCCTTTGGATCAAAGTCATCTGAATTTTTATTTTAAATACAGTAAAACATGTTAGTAAGGATATCTTTCATTTCAAAGACCTCACATTCTATAGACGAATGTTTTAAGAAAAACGATTTCTTGGTAAAGACAGATGTTTTTAAGAATATCTTTTTTGAATGTCTCCACACACAAGTAGGTAAATCAATATTTAAAAAATCGGTTAATATACCAACCTTTGACACAACACGTTTTATTGCTAGACAGTTTGACACATTTTTCTAATGAAAAACAGGAGAGACATCCAACATTTTGGACCGTCATCTACAATGATAAAACGTAAAGTAATATTGAAAGGATTAGTAATATAAAATATCAGACTTTCAACAGTGAAATACTGCAATTTATCACTTCATGAAAATTGATATTTTCAAAGTGAAAAAATATCAAGAAATATTTTCAAATTGAATGTGAAAATAAATAATTCTCGGCAAAACTCGAGATTTCCCTTCCCTTCAGAAAAATCTCCTTGTATATAGCGAGCTAAGTAAATAAATCATCCTGACATGGACTGAAACTTTCAAAGTTTCTAAAAGTTACTGTTAAAAATCCCTGTTGATAAGTTTCGTTCTCACAGTCGCTTAGCTACATTGCTGTATGAAACTGAATAACGGAAAGAAACAAAAAAGAAACCAAAGAAAATGTAAATAACAGAAAATTTAATTATTGTAGTTAGGTATGACATTTATTACACTTGTGAGAAAATATTGTTCAAAACTTAAAATAAATTTCATAATCAACTGCAAAACAGTAAATATCCTCTATCTATATTTTATATATTAAACGAATGTATACGTTAAACTAAGAGAAAGATGAAAAGTTTAAAACATATAAAACGATTCATTATATAAATATGAATACTTTTTGGCAAAATACGGGCCAGTTACGGTTTATTGTCGTAAATTTCCAAACATGGCTTAATGCATATTATAGAAAATACGATTTTTTTCATTAGATATATGCATTCTTCATATCTTCACGTGTGGAACCTAATAGTTTAATAACACATATGCATGTGAAAAAAATATAAACTCATGAAGGCGGGGATTCGAATTATCAGTAGTTGATATCATAGGGTCATTGTTTTCATTAATACTTTTTATTAAATCTACTTTTCTCGTATATATTTCATTTTTTTTTTAAAGTATTTTGAGTGCTTGGACATAAAAGAGAATAAAGAAAATTTTTTTAAGGAGGACTCGGTTGCCATGGCAATGTTAAGACTTTTTCAACCTCCTAGAAAGAAAAAAACTCTGAATAAAAAGTATATGTATTATTCCTTTCTTAATTATTAGTTTAGGCTAGCAAAATCATATTTCATATTTTAAGGTTAATCAGTTGGTGATTTGATGACCACCCGACCTCCTTTAAATGCATACCTGATTTCGCTCAATTCTGAAGAAATCCGATTTTAATTCTGTTTCATTAATGTCTGTCATTATCTCACAAACGAAGCCACTGAGGTTGTAATTGACACCGTTACACCAAGTATTTCTCACCAAACACTCACGGACACATTGTTGTGGTCCAACTGCACTGACAACGGCTACAACTGGGCTGATGTATCTTTCTCCATGTATTGGACTAATATTGAAATCACAACATTCACAGAATATTAAAGCAGTGGATAAAATAGTGATAGATACAATTGTCATTTTTCAAGTAGACGGTCAAAATTTTGAAATTATACGTTTCCTTCCAGATTCCATAAGGTAAAAGTTAGCGTGATACATCCCCAAATGCACGTGGCTTTAATCGTGAATTGCCACTTTCGATTTTCGGTTAAGTCTCTACCCTACAAAGGTTCTTATTTAACTACAAATAAAACTATCTCAAAGTTCCATTAAGATTTAATCCATTTCAATAGTTACGTAATGCAAAAAAAATCAGTAACAAAATATGAAGAAAAACAATATGTTCATAGTATACTTCATCTTCCTGACAAATATTATCTTAACCATGTCGCTGGTCAATGGAAATATTTGTCCAAGTCTCCATTAAAAGGATTCAATAAACGGTACCAGCAGTTTATATTTCTTCGCTAAACAGGATAGGGCCCTTTTGTAATGGACTATGTCACAAAGTAATACTGAAAATGAGTTTTATTTCAAAACTTTAATATTTATATGAGATAATAAAATTATATTCATTTGCTGATATATATCCATTTTTCTTGACATCTTTTGCAGAATATTATTATTATTACTTAGTATATTTATTCTCATGAATAAAACTTGGATTAATGTTCAGTTGAATTGGTGTAATGTAAGTTAACAATTGATGCAAAAACTTTGTTCACTATCTAAAGTAAACAAAAAAAATATTGTTTCTATTACTCCGTTGTTTAATTGCTCACATTATCATCATGAAGGCCTGTAACAAGTTGTTGAGCAAGCACGTTGTCCAAAAATATAGGACAATTCTTAGCCATAGTTTGAATTTTTGCAGACGTTGCTGACAAACAACAATATGACATAAAAGGGTATCTTATTTGTCGTTATTAAATTCCGTATGCACCAATGAAACTCACTAAAATTTATCATATTTATTTTAATCTTCTATTGGTTGTGAAATTATACATTCCACAGCGTTTTCCCCGTACAAAGTAACATACCTTTCGCATATCAACGCCGACTGTAACAAAAGAAATGATGGACTTATAATACATGTAACATTAACAAGAATCATTTTGATTTGAACCTCTGTATAGAAAAAAATTTAACTGAATTTACAGAAATGCGAAAAAGAATAATCGTTTCTAAAAGATGAACTTCCGACCATGGGAGATACAATTCTATTGATGTTTTAAAACATTGTGTTCAACAAAAGATATCTTATTTTTTTGAAACTACTTTTACATTCAGCAGTATTTGTTTTCTATTGATTAAACTTTAGAACTATTTCAATTAATACTAGCTTTATAAACGTTAATGGCATTTTCAGAAGTAATGTAATGAAAATTACATGAAACGCGTTGAGGCTTGGGGAATGATAAGTTGTTTCGTTTGGAGTTACGTAATCCCACGTTTCCGATTTGCTTTCCAATGAAAGCTGAAGTTTCTGTCCAATGATTAATCTACTGAGCTTTTGTGACCAAAATATTTTTCGATTGCTTGTCTATGGAAGATATTTACTCTCCAAATATTTGATTGGGAGCATGAACAGATTAACATTTAAAATTGTAGCCTTTTTCATTGTTTTTCGTTTGCTGCCGTTGGTGCGACTGGAGGGCAGATTTTCAGCTGTCAACAAGAAGTTAAATAGAAATACCTATAACGTCACAACGTTTAACACAAACTAGCCTTCCTCAAGATTCATTTCGTTTCATTGCATAGAGGACTTTCACATATACAAATGTTATTTCCCTTTGCGGTGTCAATCTGGGGTCAACTGGCGTAAGGTACTGTTTTCTCTATAACATTACAAACGGTAGGGGCAATGTCGGTATTCATATGTTCACCATGTCTTCATGTTACCATGCTTTTGTAATACAGGAAGGGATCAAAATTGTCCGATAACGTTTGAAGGTTTGAAAAAAATTACGGAAGTTACAATGGATATAGTGAGTGTTACTCCGACGACTCTCAATAATTTGAACTTCGTCTATTGCCTCGTTTGCTTAACACATGTATTTAACTGAAGTGTCGATGCACTTTCAAGTAGAAAAACTAGGAAAAAATGACCATGGTCAGCAGTTATTTACAAATATGTGAAGTGTATTAATCTCTCTATATTTTTTTACGTATAATTTCACTTATTTCATTTTTTTTTTATAAATCAAATCATACAATCAATCAATCAATAATAACAATTGTTTTTGAAAACAAGATTGTCAGTAATTTTGTACAACAATTTTGTGTTTAGCGTGAGCAAATAAAATAAGTTTAAAAGCGTCATTTCGTACGCATTAGAAAATCTGTAAAATGTGAAAAAATGATAAAACCTTATTTATTTTGTTCATATTGTACTGATCTCTGTTGATAGGGTGAAATTTTTTTTTTTACAAAATATTAATGTATGTACGTCATTACGTTATGCATAGTTCATAAATGTTTAAAGATGTAGATTGGTGGCAACCAACTAAAGAAAAGCCAATGAGAATAAAATGTAAGAAGATTAATTTTTAAACATTGAAATTAAATAAAATTAAATTTTCGAAAACCATTTACATATACATGTACGAAGACTGTCCCAAAATTCCATAAACAAGCGTTATTGTGTAGGAAACCGGTATCATATATTATTGAAATTTTGTACATAGATTAAACGAAAAAAAAAAAAATAAAAATAAATAATAATAAAAAAAAACCCAATAAATTTATGGAGAAACATTGAGTAATTACACATATTAGCCCCATTGGAATAAAATAATGAATGTCCGGTGTAGGAACCCTAACAAAAAATACTGTAGTTAACTATAGTTAACTATTGTGATAACTTTGACACTATGAAAACTTTGATTTACTATAGTGATAACTTTGACACTTTGATTTACTATAGTGATAACGTTGACACTTTGATTTACTATAGTGATAACTATGAAAACTTTGATTTACTATAGTGATAACTTTGACACTATAGTGATAACTTTGAAAACTTTGATTTACTATAGTGATAACTATGACACTATAGTGATCACTTTGACACTTTGATTTACTATAGTGATCACTTTGACACTTTGATTTACTATAGTTAACTATAGTACTTTTTTGATAGGATAGACGGCGCAGTACCTCATATTTGCAATGAAAAACAGTATATATTTAAAATCCGACAAAAAAGTATTTACTTCTCAAAATGTCGATAATAGAAATTAACATTCTTAAAAATTGTATGTTAATTACATTTCTTCAAATTTTCGTGTCTATGGTTTAATTATGAATCTAATGTTGAATGTCGACCGGCTGACAATTTGAAATTGGCTGCTGCCTTGACATAGGCGGCTCATTGAACTGTGATCAAATGTTCTGATCTTGAATTCATTCCTACAAAAACGCATAAAACAGAAATATTTTGGTACATATGGAAATATTTTCTACTCCTTAGTATATGAAAAGAATGAATCGGCTTTTCTAGGTATGTGAAGAAGGTAATTTAAATAAAATTACATGTATTTTCTTGTATGAATGCCAGGTAATTTATTGCATTCCATTTTAAATGATTCATGAAAGCATGATAAATATTGTTATTCATACAAAAAAAATAAACCTGCTGATTTACGTACTAAGGACTTTTAACTCTCCGACCGAAGGAATTGGGCATGAGTGACACTGTTAGACTAGACAGACGAAAAGCAGACGTAAAACAAAGAGTTTTTCAAAATATTTTTGAGACATATACATGTTCATACTTTGTACACACTATAATAAGCTGAAGTACAATATAGTAAGCTATAGCAATTTTTTGTAAGAATAGGTATTCCGTTGTCCTTTTCACAAAAAATTCTTAGAACTAAGATAAATATTTCCCTTTCTCTAAGAAGAATCCCAGCTATAGTAAGTCACCCAAAATCTTAATTTCTATTTAATTATATAACATTGTAAATAATATTTTAAAATAAATAGTATTTTCATTGAACAAAAAATTACGAAGTTATCAATTTTTAATCTTAATCGTAAGATTTGTTTGTGAAAAGGGACGCTGATTTTCACAAGTCAAGGAGTTTAACAAAAAGTATTAAACGTTTCCTTTCGATATGTTTGTCATTGGGCTATCCTCTTGAGTCAATAGTAATCTACTCTCCGACATCTATCGGATACAGATAATATAACCCAATATACTGTAAACATTGGAGATTTTAACAAAAAACAAACGGCGTATGTTAATCCTTTTTAAAGCATCAAATTACAAAACTTTTAAAGAATAATATTTCATGATTTTATTTCGCACAAATTCTAAAAACATAATAAGCTAAATACTATTAATATTTTTAAAAAATGCAAATAAAAATTCATTCAAAAAATGATTCGTGAAACGGTTTTCCCTGTGTAATGGATAAGGTATTTAAAATGGGTACATGTATTTTCTTGTATGAATGCCAGACAATTCATTGCATTCTATTTTAAATGATTCATGAAAGCATGATAAATATTGTTATTCATACAAAAAAATGAACCTGCTGATTTACATAATTATGACTTTTAACTTTCCTTTTACATACACAGCAAAAATGCCTGGAATCCAAACGCAAACCTGATATCCCTAGCCTGTCAGATCAGTTTCTATTATATATTTGTTTACTCTTTAATTTTAAAAATTACGAAAAAAAAAATTAAAACATAAGTTTTGAAAATAGTTAAACTAATTTTTATGACAACTTATTTCTATGAAAATAAAATTAGCTAGTTTACCTTTGTGTTTGATTATAAAAATGTTTCCTGTCTAATGTGAAAATAAAATTTTGTAAACCAAAGATTACTTGAGCAAGGGTCTGATTTTGAAGAAAGAAAAAAAGTAAATACATGTTTATTTGAGCAAATTATGTACATGTATTAGGGTGTGACTTTTGTTTTTCAGAATTTTCTCTGTACATTGTCATCCTTAACCTACAGTATTATTTGTAACATAGCTTCAAGGGCTGAGAAGAATTAGATACTTTAAACATAGTCTTGAAAAAGAAAGAAATGGTTTGCCGAACCTGTATTTCCTGTAATTAGTAGGTCTTGCTTCTTCTTACCTTCTTTCTTTTCTTCGATTGAGAGGGAAAGGGTAAGAAGTTAGGTGATAAGAGGGGACAGGATGGTTGATAAAGAGTTGGGAGGGGAGGAAAATTGATAAGAGAATGAGTAATAAGGAGGGGTGAGAAAACAGAGTGGGACAAAGAACACCCATCCCAAGTCTATCTTCAAGTTGATTTTCCCATTATGATACTTTACAATTGAACACGAGTCCCTATTGATTATCAGTTTGTTCTTTCTTATTGTTGTCACTATTTTGCGCCATTTCTTTTGTGTCTTCTTCATTGGTGTTTTCATCCACTCTGCCCTTGTCTACATCATTCAGATGCACTGGTTTCGCATCGATGCCATTTTCTGTAAAGAAATTACATTAAAGACATTAACACCATATATATTGGGTTACATGTAAATGCCTTTCATATTTTCCTTTGACTGAATTTAATGTTATCATGCTTCGAAACTTTTACATTTTATATGTTAATGGCTTTAAAACTTGAGGGTTACATATATACTTCATTTTTAGCTATTTTACCTTTCAATCTGTAATATATAAGTTTGTTTTGAAACTTTTATGCTTTTAAGGGCTTTAGTGTAACTTTGATAAATTTGTCGCTGTGAAGATAATTTTATTTTATTGCATTATATCGTCATGTTTTAGATGACAGTATATTAAAATCTCTGCCTTATCATACAGTAATGTGATTTCAATCCTAATCGTTTAAGGAGGCTGGGGGGGGGGGGGGGGTCAACAAATTAACCATCACATATAACTTGACTTTTTAGATATGATATCTTAAGCTGTCAACTATCGTTTGGCAAACAAAGATTTCATACATTTTAGTTTTAAAATTTGATCATTTTTGTATATCTTTATATGGAACTCTTCTCCTAAAGGAGATCAATATAGTCTGAAAATGGCCACAACCACCCAGCCCTCTTAATCTACCAACTTGTCTTTTGTACCGATTACCCTGCTAAGTGTTTTTCCTATACCTTTCTGATTTTCTCCATCGAATTTCCTGTCCTTGATTTTCTCATCACGCTGCTTTCTTTTTCTGCAAAACATTCAGGTTATGATTCGAATTGAATTACCTTCTAGGAATGTTACATTACATTGATACATCAATGTATTGTAATCATAGGGGGCCGTACTGAAATATGGATAAATTATATAAAGTCCTCAAGTATATAATACGCACATATTGGTCTCACAAAATAGCCAATATCCTTATAAGAAATTAAGAAGTTCATATTTTGTTTTTTACTTGGTTTTAAAAGGAAGATATTTTAAACAAGGAATGCTAAACGTCCATAAGATTAGAAAAGAATTATCTAGAAAACTAGTAAACGTCATAACTTGATATTTGATTATACATTTCGATATTTTCTGAAATATCGTTTGATGCATCATAATCCTTTTTTTCCTTAACGATATACAGCCCTTTTACCTACCGCTAAAGAAAACCGCTCAAAATAGGAAGATAATTACAAAGAAAACTGCTCAAAACAGGAAGATAATTACAAAGAAAACCGCTCAAAACAGGAAGATAATTACAAAGGAAACCGCTCAAAACAGGAAGATAATTACAAAGGAAACCGCTCAAAACAGGAAGATAATTACAAAGGAAACCGCTCAAAACAGGAAGATAATTACAAAGGAAACCGCTCAAAACAGATAGATAATTACAAAGGAAACCGCTCAAAACAGGAAGATAATTACCTTCTCACTAGGAGACAGATCAGCAATATAATTAACAGGAAACCCAGTATGGAGCCTATAACAGCCCCAGCAATTACTTCTTTGTTTCCATAATCTTCATTTGTACCATCTACTGAAACTGAAAATAAGTTAATCAGTGTAATTTTTTTTCTGTGCTGAAACCTAAATTTTATATTTATGACACTTTGTAAGGTCTGTGTCTAGCGATTCTGTGTCTAGTCATTGAATGAAATGCACGATTCCTCAGGAAGAAAGTCCAGCATAATAAAATTGAATGCAGAATTTGACTGATTCGAAATTTCTTTTTTGCTTTATTTATTATAATTAACGCTTAATATGAATGTTGCCTTCAATATTCACCAGAACAAAGATAATCGAAAAAGACTATACTATGTTATTCTGGGTGAGTAAAACAAAATCCTCTGTATTAATGGAATGTCAAGTTCTTTGGTCATATCGTATAATAAGAGTTTTAGTTCATGTTTTCTGCAAACATTTTTTTCTAACTACCTGAGACTCGATCACGTGACACTCCAGAATAGCATGCTCACCTGTTTGACAATCATGACCTTTGTATCCTTCTCTGCAACCACCCCAGCAAGTCCCATTCACCGGAACACATCGGAATTCTTCCAAACAGTGAATGCTACAATTGCTTCTACAGTTAATGCCAAATAAACCAAGTGGACACGCTAGAGAAATAAACAGATGACAAGCAAAATCAATTCGTATATCTATTAACGTTTTTTTTAAAAGTGTACTCTAGATCTTAGCTTTAGTTTTCAAAGTCTTTCAAAGACATCTTTTTTTTTAACTCAAATGTGTTGAATATGTATTTGCTTTTATCTTAATATACATTATACATACATATGTAATTAGCAATTAACAAACTATTTCTTTATAGAGAAAAACTATTAATGTGAATTTAAAATGAAATAAAGACATTTTTATAATGTGATGTTTTTGGCCCAATAGTTTTTCTTACATACATATTCAAAAACACAGATATTCAAGAAAAAAAATACTTCACAAAGTTACAACGACAGTTTTTCTTTATTTTTAAAATGTGATACATAGTGCACAACATATGTTTTTACAATACATATATACAGACCTTCGACACACCAAGGCGGTTGCACTCCCGGTACACTACAGCCATTGGTGCACTCGCCTGTGTCCCGCCTACATCCGGCATTACAGTTTGTATTGCAGTTCATCTCACAGTTTGTTCCATACCATCCATCGGCACAGTCTAAAGTTTACAGTAAAACATGAACTGAATGAGATTATTCTTCATGCCAGACGAGTCAATGGTATAATAGCTTAACCATAACAAAACAAATTTAGAGATCTGCTTGTAACATTTAGTGATTATTAAAATTTGCGTCTTTGTGATAAAGTTTGTGTTCTGAGAGGCTTTTTTAAAAGGATATAAACATAATAAGAATATAAGATACCATTGCAATCTCGACCTGTCCACCTCATCTCACACCCTTCTACACAATCGCCTCCATCTTGAAAACATTTAAGATCTTTACATTTTGGATTACACTGCTCGGAGCAGTTTGCACCATAAAAGCCATCAATACATCCGCCATCATTACATGCACCGGAAGTTTGTTCACAGGTTTGGTACCTACAATTTTCGCTGCAGTTTTTGTCACATTTAACCTCAAAGAATCCTGGAATACAACCATCAAAGCAGTTTCCGGATTCCTGTTCACATGTATTATTCATACAATTATTACAATGTAAATTACAAATCCCGCCATAGTACCCTGGAATGCAACCATACAAGCATACCCCGGATATTCTATCACAGAGGTTTGGTTTGTCGCAGTTTGTACAATTGTTTTCGCATCTTTCACCATAGAAGCCAGATTTGCAACCATAAGTACAGGATCCATTTGGAGCTTCACAAACTCTCCTGTGGCAGTTACTACCACAGTCAAGGCATGTTCCGTCAGACATGTAACTCCCCGGACTGCATTCTAAAATACCATACACGTGACTATGAAAATACTACTCACAAAATGATAATGATTTAGAAATATAGCGAACAGCATTCAGACACAATGGATGAAATCAATACATCAGTATATTATCAGCAGATACCCAAACGTAATCAGTTTTAATTTCGATAGTTGAAGTAGCAACTATAAATGATTTTCGTCCTCTAAATTTCAATTAAAGGGTTAAGGCGTCCGATCAGAAGTTTAATTTAATAAAAATCTTAAATTTTAGGTCTGTAAATATTGCTTCATTTAAAACATTTAAAAAGTTTTTTTCCTGTCAATATTTGATATTTGAGGAAGACGAAATAAGTAGGTTTTCGCGAAGTTTGAGTATTTTTCTTTCAGTACATAATAACCTACAGCATGCTTTAAACAGCGCAAAATATTTTTAAACTCTAAAGTGCCATATTAGATAGATGCAAATATTGAATATTTTCTGTATCTTCAACATATGACTTATCAAATAATTATGAAGATTCGCATTATTTTGAACATATTTTGTGGATAATATGTCAATGGGAATGGATATGTCCCAATAACTTTTGTACTCCTTTTTCTATTCTTATTGTGTTTTACTTGATAAGTACCTTCTGTTTGCCCCTCTGTAGTTTGTGTTGTGACAAATACAATAAATACAGACACAAGGATTCTCCGACCTGAAAGGAAAAACAGATACATGGACTTTGACGGCCAACTGAACGTAATGATTTTCTCCGGCAATGATCAATACCCTCTCTCGGATTGGAACTCTGGCCTCATATGACAAACATTTTAGAGTTCTGTCAGATCTTGGTTATTATTTATAAGCATAGTCATGCAGTTTGACTCCTAGAATTTCAAAAGATACACCGTATTATAAATTTTAATTATAATTATATTGTTATGACCAACATAGCCCTCCAGGGGCCTAATCTTTGGACCCTTGGGTCATGAATTTTATAATTCTTTTAGAAGGGTCTGAATGCATATAAATCTGAATTTTACAATGTCAATAAAGGGTAAGGTACTCATTGTAAGTTTGAAATCCGCTTGCCTACTTTATGACTTTTAGATCATAGGATTTTCAGGTGCAATATAGTTTCAATAAGTTACCAATCACTGATGCCTTACCCCCTTAATCCTTAACTCAGGTGCAATGGATTGCACACCTTAAGGAAAGGGCTCATAGGTATAAAAATATGCAGTCTGTCTGTTAAAATTCTATCAATAAATAAGATTTTAGAACAGAGGATTTTCAGATGCAATATTGTTTCAATAAATTACCAAACATTGGTGCCCCCCCCCCTCCTTAAGCCTGAACACAGGTGCCACGAATTTCACAATTTTAAGAAAGAAGTTATAGCGTATTTTTTCGATTGTGTAGTGTATTTTCAATATATGACTAAGCCCGGCCTACCCTAGGTCCTGAAACATAGGTACGAGGGCCATGAATTTCACACTTTTGATAGAGGGCTATTGTTCATAATAATCATGGACAGAAAGAGTTTGCCTGCTAAATACCCGTGATTATGAGGAGAGAAGACATTTAAAGATGATGTGCATTTATAATCCATGTAACAATTCAATTAAGTATCAAACTAAGGCCTTGGGACACTTCGGATTCACAAGTTTGGTAACAGGATACCTGTAACACTGCAAGCCGTTTGGATGCTTGAAGTTCATAAGTAAAGAAGAAAAATGTTCAATATATAATGTATCTTCTTTATATTTTCAACAAGGCACCTCCCTAGCGCTTAAACACGGAGCCCAGGGACCACGAATTTCACAAGTTTGTTGAAGGGCTCATTGCGTATCAATTGCATGTCAATAATATTACTCTTGGTATCCGAAAAAAAAATATATATATTTTAAAGGATTGCATCAAATTTGATAATTTTTGAAAATTTGGAATTTACAATTTTTGTTCCTCTTAACCAAAAAGTACTTTTTACCAAAATTGGATGGAATTGAGTCAGTCATTTTTTTTTATAAAAAGAAGAAAATGTAAAAAAAAAAAAAAATTGCACGACGTCGAGCACATGGCAACGGTCGAAATTCGAATAACGATAAGTCACCTGAGCTACTCAGTAATCTAAAAAGACTTAAGAAATTACACGAACAATCATTAAATGTAAGAATGCTACGTCATTCGTTTTTTAATAATTATAATTCTTTTGTGTATATTTTAAATAATGAAAGGCCAATTTAATACCTTTTTCATTTGCAATTCACACTCTCTTCTTCTGTTGTTGTTTGTTTTTTGAAATTTAGAATTTTGAACCTCTTTCTGATAACCTTACCTAAATTTCTCTACATGTACTATATATTACTTCAAATACTTTATTACTTCAAATAAAATATATGGAGAAAACGAATAGTATTCAAGCTCAAAAGTCTATTAAACAATACAAATTTTGGAGCAGAGCAAACACGGACATCTAAAACCTATCAATATATTACTTCCAAACTTTTCACACTCTGTTGTGAATCTGGTCATGATGTATAACAAATAAACAATGTGTATTCCCCCTCTTTTTTAAGTAAACTGATAAGACAATGTATAAAACGAAGAATTATTATAATTATGAAATATAAGAATATAAGATATAAAGTATAAAGAAATATAAGAATAAATGTTCACTTTTAGAAAATATATGAGTCCGTTGGTATACAAGTTATATCATTTAAAAAGAAATTTACTTGTCTTTTTGAATTTATTTTTTGTCAAGAAAAGGGGGAACCTATACTTATTTCAATTGTTCTTTTTCTTTAAATCGATCTGTAGGGTTTGTAACATACAGAGTAATCATCCTTTAAAAAAGAATGAACCGTGAAGTGAAACCATACATCAGAATAGACTTTTTTTAAAACTGCCATTTAGATTCATTCCAAACATCTTTTAGCACAAATTTGACAGGCCAAGCATCATACTGCAAGTTGATATCGCTTTCTCAATATCGGAAGATCCAATTAGTTAAAAAAAAGTATCTTGCGCGAAGTGTGAAAATCAGTTTATGTCTAATATATACAATGCATATCAATTAATAACTATAAAGAATGTTTCGTAGTTTATCATTAGTTGAAATATTATGAACAACAAACAACGTTGTACAGTCAAAAGGTATAAATGTTTCTGTGATTTTATTTCATTTATTTTTTGTGTTTGTAATAATCTCTGAAAGAATAGTATTTTTTACGACTAGTATCTTTTTTTTTCAACTTTCTTGTGTTTCGAATTCAAAAACATTATCAGATGGGTACAAAAATCTTCTAAGTAAAATAACCATCTTAATATTTTCTAAGGATTTTTTGTCACTAAGCCATGAACGGGCGAGGATTTTGAATCACTAGGTTAAGAGAGAGAGAGAGAGAGAGAGAGAGGAAATCTTAATCTTATCTGAACAATCCGTATAGCTCCTCGGTATGAAAAAGAAATACATCACTGAAAACCACAATAATGAAAAGACAAAACTGCCTAAATAGCAACTAACTTTGACAACTTACCTGATATATGAGACATTTTCATATTGTGGACATCTCCTTCACTTTCTTGTAAGCTTTATGAAAAAAGGAAGAAAAATTCAGGGCAAACATTGGAAAAATCTTAATTTAATATCATTTTCTTGCAACTACTTCCGTCAATTTATGTTCCTCAAAGAATGTTTGAAAACGCATTCTTTTACTAAGTTTTAATACGTGTTTTCGGTTTTCTCTGAATTTTTGGAGACTGTCTTGTTCTTTTGTCTTCTGGGGCATCCATCTTGTTATTCCCTTGTTTTTCATTTAATATTTTTTTTTATTTATACCATCCTGTTACATGCATCATTTTATCACCCCTAGTTAAACAGTTAAAACCTTGTTGTAATATTCTTAAGGAGTCTGTATTATATTTCATATTATAGGATTACATATATATTTTATAGTATAAAATCAAAGTAAAAACATTGAATATTCCGAATAAAAGTAGTTAAGTAAAAAAAAGTTATCGTTCATCTTTGACTATATGTTGATATGGTCATGTCTAGAGCAGCGTGAACTTCATTTAGTGCATTTCATTCATCGCAAAAAGTGATGTGCGATACCTGGCGGCGCAGTCTCCAACATCGGATTCTAACCCCTCTAGATCTGACCAAAATATTGCTTCGAGTCTTAACCATGAACACATACTCATAAAATACGAGCAACTTTTGATTCTGACTTTACAAAACATACTAACCGAATCAGGATGCAAGTAAAACAACTTAATTAAGTTTGAACACAAATCAACAAATCTCTATTTACATCCCTGTTGTGAAAAATGGCATGTGATCATAAATAAATACTTTCGAAGTTATGTCTTGGATTTATTATGGCTATAAATCAGAATGCTAATGCACTTTTGAGTAATAAAGGACTAGTGGGCGATTTAGAGAATTGGAAGAATTGTTTAAATTTGTTACTTGTATACCGTGTTGCTCGTTGATCATGACATACATTTTTCACGCCTCTGATAAAACGTAATTAATCACCCACAAGTATTTATAAGCACCGATATGAATCAAAGTAAAATTCGCCACGTATCTTTCCTTATCATAGATGCAAAAAAATTTAAGAATTTTTCATATTTTATAGTAAACAAAAATTAAATTGTATATACATGAAATATCCTTTAGATTAGATTAACGGAATAAGCAAATAACGAAATACCAGTAACATGCCTCTCTTATTGGAAACATGTATATAGGTCAGAGGGCACTGAATTATTATTTTTAGGAGTTTTTAAGAATTCAAAAAAATCATTTTCCTTAATGAAAGGAGATATGCAAGGGAATATGCTAAAACGCCCATTTTTTAACGAAAAGCAGATACATTCTCTCAAATATCTCAAACTATTTTTAAATTTTTTTTTTAGATTTTTTAAAAATAATGAAATGTACTAATATTAATTTTATCTAATGTATGATGTAATCTAAAAATGTTCACAAATACTGCACCTACCTAACTTAAATCCATGAACAAGTCGCTATAGAATTCCCTTGTTTTCTTCTCATTGTAAGGAAGAAATATTGACAGAATTGATCGTAAAATACATCAAAACATTCTCTGCATTACCTACGGAGCAATCCGTCTTAATTGCTTAAATTATTCGCTTGGTTGATTAACATTTTTAAACAAAACAAAGAACGTGACACTTTGTTCTAATTTTTTCAACAGATGCCTTTGTACTGCTAGTAAATGCATATTTAGATAACTATTCAATTCAAAACAGGTAAAAAAAAAGAAATATATTCAGATTAAACGTATTTGCATTTTTTAATTATAAAACGAAAATAGCAAGAAGCGTAAGTATTGATATTACGAAATTCTAGGCAAAGGTCATATACGAACTGAGCTAGCTGAGTTCCAAATCAGACACAAAAACCTTTTTAAAAGATTTTTGATTAGATTATGTATTGTTTTCCCCTCGAATGTAAACAATTCAGATTACGCATTTACAGGCGGATATTATATCGCCTTCTTGTAGTTTATCATCGTTTTACGGTAAAAATGAGCACTTGTCATTTTACTTCATGTACTATTCACTGGTATCCACTCTGTACAAAACCAAACCTTCTGAATATTCACTCACAATTTTATCCATAAACATTTAAGATAAGTGAAGCAATCCACTAATTACTGAAATTCTGCCTTCAGAACCTACATAATTATTATGAAATATTTCACGCACTCACAATCAGCTAGAATAATAAAAATAAATTTCTCTAACCTTGGACATGGAAAAAAGGAAGTTCAACACAAATTCGTTAAAAATATAAACGTCATTAATTATTTCACTTATAACTTAACAGTTGTATATCTTAAGGTGAAATATCCCTCTGCTACAAATTTCAGCAATTTTTTTTTAAATTCCCAACGTTGATTTTCATCAACAATAGCATTAGATTCAAATGGAAAATAGTTTGAAGTATGAATCGTTGCTTACTTTTTCAGAAATGAATATTATGTCCAATTATGATACGATGAAAATTTGATATGGAGAAAGATCAATAATTTTTTTTCTCACCCTAAAATTTAAAATATGAGGTATATATGAAAATAATATTTACTATCATACCTATCTAATTCACATTAGAAAACATAACGAAGCGTTGCTTTTTAAATCAGAATATCACATTGTTTTCTATGTTTGTAAAATAAAAATGCATCCATCTACATCTTTCGTTCTACAGGAGTTATCGTTCTTCAAAATATTTTCAGTGAAAAAAATATTATTAACTGATTGTAAAGTCTGGTTTGTCTGCAGGTGAAATTTCTGTAACAATTAAAAGAATTATATGTTAAGAGAGAGAAATATCTCAACTTTAACATTTAAAGGAACTGAGTATGAATGTTTTAGGTAAACTATTATAAGTAATTAATAAAAATATAAGGAATAGAAAATAGAAATCAATATTTGTAACTTAATGCTCATCAGAATGTGGTCATTATTATTGCAGCCCGGAGGACCGGGCTGCTCTATACATATAAGTTTAAGTGTTGGTATATGGGGATTGAGGTGGGAGAAGTTATTCAGAATTAAAGGTTTTCTAAACATTAAAAAGATTGTTAATCAGAATGTTCTTTCCCTTTTTAAATTACGAGATACACAATATATTTACTTTCATAAAGTGAATCTGTAATAATATAGATGTTTTTCATATTTAATATATAAAGTTGCGTATCATTTACTATCGAAAAAACGACAGGTCCCTTTTTTTAGAACATCGAATTTTACTTATCGCATAAAAAGGTAAAAACGTACTTTACACAGTTCGTGTTTTATATTCTTAAAGTGAAAGACATTTTTGAAAATAGGTGATGCATGTGTCTGGTTTCAATTTATATTTTATGCAGCCAACATTTACTTGAGGAATTGATAAAGTTTAAAAGGGTATCGTTTTTGTTCGATTTTCATCCGACTATATGTTTTCAAAATATTCTCGACTATCGTCTCCAGCATTTAGATGCATGCCTTTTTCACACATATCGAAGCGGTTTGATGATCAAGACTCATTTTCATTGTTTAGTTTATTTATTTCCCGGGCGACAATTGATGGTTACATCAATGTTTTCTTGTTAAACTCTGGTGAGACAGATCATTAGATTCCTTGGAATAATTTCCTTGGAAAGTTATCTCTCTTATCAGAAGGATAATAAATGTACACGTTAAAGTCAGTCTTACACAATTTAAAAAAAAAAAAGTTCTATCATTTTAAATCCCCTCCCTCCTCCTTCTTTAAATAATTTAGATGCTATACAATTTTTAAAAAATGGCTGATGTACATTCAAATCTACATGTTATGTTCATTTTTATCTAATCATACACCTATGAGTACAAGAATATTTTTTATCCAAAGATATAAGTGACGCTGTTCCAACGAGCAGGGGATGCTGACCATATGTGTAGCGTGAAACTTGTTTTCAAGTCTATTAAAGCAAGTATTACTCCTGTCAATAGTGGAATGCTCATAGCAATCACGCAATGTATTGATTCTTGAGAGACAATTACATGTATCTCTAAATCTCCTTTCCATCTTTTCTTACAAACCGTTTTAATGATATTTGCCCTAACCTACATGTAGTCAAATTTAGAAAATTGAATTCGTTTCTTTTTCAAATTAATGAAAACATTTAAATTGCTTATAGTCACTCTAAATGTAGGTATTCCTTGAACGATATAAAGTCCAGTTTATTATGAATTTGACAATTAATATGGCATCTAGTTTATTTCACATTTTAGCAACTATTAAACTGTGAACTTTGTATACATACATATATGTAGAACATGATAGGCTATACAATGAAAGATATTCATATATTTCAAAATTAATCAACATTTTATTTGACGCAGATTTAAAATATTGATATCAATATTTATGAAATAAATGTTACCACTGTAAATCAAATCAAATTAATATGAATTTATAAATGTTACCGGTGACAAAGAAATACAGCATGACATAGCAGGACTCTGCAAAATCAGAGCTGTACATGGCTCTATAATTATCACAGAAAAAAGATATAGATTTGTAAAAAAAAAAAATTAAAGAGCAGTTTTTAATCTTTGCTGAAAGCCAAATTTTTCATCTAAAATTACTCCCAGTGACACTTGATTTTCGTATTTCTGTTTCATAAAGTATAATGCTGTTTGTCGAATTACTACGTCGCTAAAGAAAGCAAATTTTGCAGAGCTCCCAGTTGAGACTTTGAAAGATTGCCACAGTAATAGATGTAGACTGTTCCCATCACTTTAAAATTATAAAGTTTTAGGTGAGATAAACGACAAATTAGCATCGAAAATGTTTGCATATTATTATGCAATATTGTAATCGTATTTTTTAAATCTCTTGCAGACAAATCTATAAAACAGAATCAGAATATATTTCATGGTGTAAGTTGAGCTTTATGCAGAGGGTGTTGAAGAATCCCCCTTCACTTAATCCAGTCTTTCTTGTCAACAATCATTTGTGTGATTGTATATATGAATATTTGAAATTTGTTCAAAGCTGAGATCAGAGGGTCTAGCTCAAAAAAGTCAGACCATATTAAGGACTCGTATTGGAGGTATTTAACGATAAGAAGGAACCAGACGAGCAGAGGCAGCAAAAAATAAAATCCAGGACTCACATTCATATTTACATAATTGTTCTGTTTTAAAACCACTGTTATTAACGTTAATGACTGCTTACAATGACAGGATGAATCCTGGAAATTGTCCGCCAGTGTCTGAAGTCCCATTATTTTGTCCACCGTGCGTATAAAAATACAATTGAACACCTCGTTCATTAACTGACTGTTTGTAAGTCTGACCTGTCCAGCTTCTTGGTCCCTGTAACCTAACCCATACTCTATATCTTTTACTTGGATATAAAAGCACAGGTTTTCTTAATTTAACAACGAACTGAATATCTGAAGAATTGGTTATCTCTATAGGCTGGGAAGGTACATCTGCGACATCGTTCGAGTTTTCAAATAATTTTCTTTCAACCGTGTACGTATATGGAACCGACTTTCCTCCCCACATCATAAAACCATGAAGTTTAACATCTCTGTTCACGGTAAATTCTATACTGTCCTCAGTACCCTTATAATCCCAACCGTCCCTTTGGTCACTGCAGCGTAAAAACGTAAACGTTTTATACTTCCGCTCTCCAAGATTGAATTTTGTGTTTCCTTTGTGCAAATTACCTACAATAATTTGCTGCAAATTAATCATCTCATCAGGAGTAAGTATTTCCCGCCTGCATACATCTTTTACAAATGTTTCTAAATTCATTGACTGAAAACGAACTTGATAAAGGGTGTCCCCTATCTCATTTCTGATATTTTCGTCAGACTTCGTTAAGCCCTTCTTTTCGCATTGATTTTCAGCCCAACTTATCAAAAAGTGATACATTTCCAGCTCCTCCATATTAAGATACTTGGACGAGACTATCTCAGATAGGGTTTCTTTCATTAAACCTAAGGCAGACGGTGACTGTAAGACAGAATTACAGTTTTCTACAATGAAATTCATACATTTTTCTGTCAGATTTTCAAAGTTAAATAACTTTGCATTTTCAAGAATTGTACAGACTGTTTCATATGTAATATTTTGGTCTAAGTATGATTTAGAGGCTTTCATCAATTCCTCCACATCGTATTTATCAGCAGCATACAATGCTCCAATCACTGTATCTTGATTTAGATCAATATCGCCACAATACAAAAATCTGAAAAAAAAAAAAAAAAACGCATATAAATTTTCTATAAAAAATCCTCAAATGACATCTGCATTTTCTCAGCACTATTTGAATACCATTACCACTACTCCATTAAAAAAAAACTAATCCAGTAACAAAAGAAAATTTTAAAAAATCGAAAGTGAGGCATATATACAGGTATGTACTAGCATGCACACAACATGAAAAAACAATTTTAAGTGTACTCGCAAATCACAGACAATGTTTAAACTTCAAATTGGTAAAAATGGACAACGTTTAATAATTACATATTCTCTTCATAATGTTTAAGTAGTATTTTAGAAATTTACGTGAAATAAATTAATAGTACATGTATTTGGTAAAGTCTCCTCTGTAATATAAAATTTAAAAAAAACCCAACACTTTAATAGGTCAATAGTAAGGCTAAATAATATGCAATACATCCAGAAATTGACAAACAATATTGCTACTAAATTGGTTATTTGCATTGTACCTATCATTAAATTGTTTAAAAAACGAGGGAAAGGAGGATGTATGTTATACTAAACAGATTTTCAAAAGAATACGGCAATGAAATATCAAAAATGAAAATCTACCTCAGAAGAACATTAAATGCAGATGGCTCAATGTCAGGAATTTTTATTTCATTAGATTCCGCTAGGTCTCCGTACAACAATGCGTCAAATACTGGACTTCTGCTGGCAAGAACGTACTTATGAGCTCGAACAAGCTTCTCTTCTTTTCCTACTTTAAATGAGACATCGCAGTGGATCTCGTGCTGAAGCATATATCTGTTACATTCAGCAACACTGAGGCCATAGCGCTAGTTCTTCGAATTTTTAACTTCGGCCATCTGCAATGAAGAACAGTTTTGTTTCAGCAAAGAACCTTGATTGATTTTCTAGCACTTTTCGAAATTTTCCATTATACTGTAATAGATTAATTACGATACATAAGCCGCATCGCTTCTCTGAGCACTCTGGCTAGAGAAGAGCAGAAGGTCGTTCAGTATTGATAAGTTTAAATATATAAGTGCCCACCCCTCAAAGAGACAGCGTCCCACTTTTATTAAAGAAGCAGCTGGCTATGATATCAAAATATTTATTTTTTAATTTATTGTGACGAATGGTTGTATGACTATGTAATGACTATGTAATAAAGGTTCCAAATAGTTCTTGAGAAGATTTTTTAAAAGATGCCACCAAATTTTCACTAATTCTTAATAACCTCCCTTTGGATGAAGGAGTGATCCTTCATCTGACCAAACTTGAATAGAATCCACCTTATGATGCTTTGTGACAAGTTTGGTTGAAATTGGCCCTGTGGTTCTGGAGAAGTCGTAAAAAGTTTACAGACGGACGGACAGGCGGACAATAAGACATACGGACGACGGATAAAATGTGATCAGAAAAGCTCACATGAACTTTCAGCTCAGGTGAACTTAAAATTGTTTTAATATTAATTTTACTTTGCGTGCACATAACTTGCAAAAATACATACTTATTCTTATACATATTTATACTGTTTTTATTTTTCTTTATGTATAAATGGAATGAACTCATTTAGAATTATTTAAAACTATTTATACTTCATCATACGTTGAAATGAAATCTATAAAGTTTATGAAATTTTCATAGTATTAGCTTTCTTCAATATTACCGAGAGAAAGTAGTCGTTTTTCGTTTTGACTGAATGATAAGTCAGTGTCATTAAAACACGTCCTTCGAAACTTCCCTTTATGACATCAAAGGCTTGAAGCTAAACCCTTGATACGAAAAGTAGTTGATTCTAAGGAACAACATTTTTTAACGATTTAACTTATGTAGACTGTACTTTTCAATGATTTGTTATCAAGTCAAGATCACATTTTGTTTTGGGTGGTTAACAATTTAAAAGCATTTTAAACAGTTTACATAAATATTGATTTTATTCCTCACGTTTTTTATCTATTGTAAATATATTGCTTTTTTTCAAGAATATTTTTTATTACTATCGGTTACAGTAAACAGTCTCTTAACTTTTTCGGTTTCTTAACCCATGTACATGTATAAACATGTATCTAACATGTGTTAATGTACTGAGGTTACAAAACTCGGAGTTACTCTGAGTTATACAAACTATAACCTACATCAATGTATTGCTCCTCATGAGTAAACCAGTAATCTTTATACGTAAAACTTTGAAAGTTAGGATATTTGTGAATTTGTTCTTGAGGAAGAAATGGGTGTGATTAAGCTATTTAAAGAATTTGAAATTGTGCAGTGCTGTCCGAGAATATGAAAGATTTCTTATGCGTTAAATTGTTATATTAGGTTAAATGCTTTATATATGAATTTTAAATAGATAGGAACGTTTTTTCACTAAATTAAACAAGAGGCCCAAGGGCCTTAACGGTCACCTGAGTATGATACAACAATTTAAAGGATACAAAGAGTATAAAATGAACTGAAAGGTGAAGCTTTTTTGCCCAAAAGCAAGAAAAATAGGGTGATGAGGATCAACAAAATAATTAGCCATAATATTCATTAATAGTTCATAAATTAGGTTCTAACCTGTTCCCCATTTATCACTATCACTATATAGTATATTAACAAATTATCAATGCTTCTGTACTATTTTTAATCTCTTGTTGAAATCTCTTACATTGGCCTCTCTTGGTCTTTGATGAACATATACTAAGACAAGTTATTTTTGTCTCATTTTTATTTATCTACCACTTACAAGTCTACCTGATCATTAAAACTATGAAAGTACTTTTTGTATTATACAATAAAAATTCTTGCATAATTCTCTTATTCTATTTACCTTTCGAGTACATTATTTACAGTGATTAATTATCAAAAGTAAATGGCAAAGGGGAATAACTCCTCTCAGTAGAATACAAATTAATAGAGCCCTGGCCAGGACCAGAACACTTGACTAAATGGTCCAGATGTTCAAAAATCTGGTAAAAATACCCTTCCTTATAAAAACTTTTACATAGTTTGCCTCAGATATGCCCAGGTGCAAAGAAGATTTTTAAAGAAATAATGCATTTTTACTAAAGATTCACTATATTATCAATAGAGCCCCCCCCCCCCCCAACCGAGAAACACCAGAGCCTCTGACCCTGGGGCCATAAGTTTGCTCATCATAACTAATTACTTTGTTTATCTGCTTAACACTAAGGAGAAAACAAGATTATCTAATAGAATTAATGCATTTTCACTATATAATCATGAGCCTCACCCTTACACCAGAAAGTATGCTTTTTCACTTTATAATCAATAGAACCCTCTCCCCCCCCCCCTCCTCTCACCAGAACCCTTGAATCTGGGGTCATGAAATTCACAATTTTGGAAGAGGCATCCTTGCGTATCATAACAATGTACTTAGTTTGTTTATATAATACATAGGGGCAGGGAAGAAGATTTTCAAAGAAATAATTCACCTTCACTATAGGATCTATATAGCCCTGCCCTAGAACCAAAACCCCTGTCCCCATGGCCATGAATTTCACAATTTTGGGAAGAGGCATCCTTGCTTATCATAACAATGTACTTAGTTTATTTGAATAATACCCAGGTGCATAGAAGAAGATTTTTAAAGAATTAAAACATTTTCACTTTATAATCAATAGAGCCCCGCCCTTACATCAGAACCCCTGACCCTGGGGCCATGAATTTCACAATTTTGGAAGAGGCATCCCTGTTTATCATAGCTATGTATTTAATTTGTTTAAATAATGCCCAGGAGTAAAGAAGAAGATTTTCAAAGAAATAATGCACTTTCACTATATGATCTATATAGCCCCGTCCTAGCACCAGAACCCCTGACCCTGGGACCATGAATTTCACAGTTTTGGTAGAGGGCTCAATGCTCATTACAATCATGCCAACAGTTCGATTGCTTGATGTCCAGTAGTAAAGAAGAAGATTTTTAAGGATTGCATTCATTTTGATGGTTTTGGCACCACCCCTCTGGCCCCAGGGGTGCAGGGGCCACGAATTTCATAATTTTTGTTCCCCTTCACCCATAGATGCTATATGTCAAAATTAGTTGAAATTGGTTCACTGGTTCCAGAGAAGAAGCTGAAAATGTTCAAAAGTTTATGACGGACGACGCACGCCGCACGACGACGGACGAAAAGAGATAGCAAAAGGTCACCTGAGTAACTCAGATGACCAAAAAAGTGGTAATGAGGAACTTAGGATTTAATAAATTTTTAACACCATAGTTAAATAACGTCTACGATGGCGCTACACTAAAATGGTTTTGGTGTAGTAGTTGACGCTTTAACATACTTTTAAACCCTAAAGGGTTTCCTTAGAAATCACGTCGAATCGAAAACGAAACTATAGTAACATTTAAATCTATATAATTTACAAAATCAAAGAAATATTACTTCACTATTATATGTGTTATCATTATATTTAAAATATATGGTTATAATATATCCACACTTAGGGTATAGTGTATATTAAGAAAAGGGGTAGCTTGCAGGCACGACCCTCTGTCGGCAATATTTACTTTCTTTTACGTGTAATCAGCTGCATTGCCTTTCCATTTTTCGTTATTTAGACTTGTAATTTAATAAACCACACTAGTATTAAATAATATACACTCACTGACAGAAGTAAAGAAATTACTTGTGTAGGCCTAATGATTAAAAGCGCTCACTTACCTTAAGAGATCCAAATTAAAAAGAATAATCTAAGGCGTAATGCTCGGGTTATAACGTTAGAAATAATGAAGAAGACTAAAAAAAAAAAAGATGAGAGCATTTAGAAATGGATTGTTAGTGCCGGATATTGCTAAAGGCTTTTTATCGCACATAGCCGCTTAAAAAGGTTTTTGTTTAAAGTTTTACTTTTGGTCTTCCAAATACCAATTATTGTGATATCATTAAAAGCTTCAATTCCCAAAAGATCAGAATGAACTATTGCAGAATTTTAAAGACAACTTAGATATGTGAAGAGTTAAAAAAAAGAAGAAAGATGCAGACCAGAATGATTTACATTCTTTTCGATTAAGATTTTACATTCTTTTCTGTTAATGTATGACATTTGACGTTTACTGTAAACTCATGGTATCAAAGATGCAGAAACTTTCAATACAATATAGAACAAAAATGTACATCAAATGTAAATATGTGTTTGTGATTACGAGGGTTGTCCATAAGTTTGTAGACAAATGCTATAATTTTCTTGATAATGGTCGCACTGCCTAACGTGTATGACAATATTTTAATTTGCACCATGATTTAGTAAATATATAAAAATTAAACAATACAAACTGTTATACGAATGTAAATACTTTGTTTATTCAAGCCTCACGGCCCTGTCCCATGTAAAGCTAATTACATGATAACGTCAAAAATATGGATTTTGATTTTTTTTTTAATTACATGTTCACGGACACACGCTACATATTCTTTTTTATGCCACACTGCCAAGTGTGTGCAACAATATTTATGTATAGACCATAATTGATTTAATTTTTAAAACTCAAATCGATACACGATATTTTCCGAGCGTTTTCAGTATAAACACTTCGGAAACACAGGCTGCGCAGCCCAGTCACGTTGCGCTTGATTTATAACTTCATGAATGAGGATATCCTATTTTCATAAAAAAAAAAAAAAAAAAACCAAAAAAAAAAAACCAAAAAAAAAAAAAACCAAAAAAAAAAAAAAAAAACCAGAAAAAAAAAAAAAAAAAAAAAAAAAACCCAGTGGTTTTCCACTTCTTGCAGTGTCTCCAAAATTTTACACACCGTTAAAAAAATCGTATATACCAATTTAAAATCATTGAACTAAATATATTTACATTTCCAAAGTCTTTGTGCGAGGTAAAATTTCAAATAGTAAA